CTTTGTTGAACGAGAAATTGTTTACTAATTAATTATTGATGAAGGGGTTAGTGTTGTATCCCGTTCTTCGTGGCGTGGGCTGAGTCTTCTGTCAGGTGGACGGAGCTATAAAACACACAGACAGGACGGCGGTTATTGGTGTATCGAAGGAGAAGAGAAGTCTCACTGGCGGGTCTCTGAGAGAGACACACGTGTTGACTTTGGACTTACCGGGAGATCTCTCCAGGTTGTCCGAGGAGCTGGTAAGATGGTCGTCGACGTCGAAGGTGAACGTAGGCTGAGGAAGATATGTGGAGTGTAGTCGGACACGACGTGATGGCTTCTTGTTGTCTTCGCGAGTTGTGTTCTGGAGACGTCGATCTTGCGTGGTGTCGTAGGTCGTGCGCGGGGATCGCGCGTAGATCTGCGTGCGGTGATGCTGGCGCGCGTGGTGCTCCGAGGCGTTTGTCGTCCTCGTCGTTCCGACAATGGGGCTGTTAAGTGATGACGTCACAGTTCCTTCGATACGCATAGCAACGATCCCACTGGGGACAAACAAAAGTAGCGTCGTCTCCACCGAACCAGTTGTCAGTGGCAACATATAGGAATCGTGTACATTTCTTCGTTTCTTCTTTGCTGTTTTCAGTGAGTGTTTTGTTTTCTCTTTGTCCTTGATCTCGACGGTGTTGTCGTGCTCATTACCTTACTGAGACGTCTCTTGTGACTGTAGCCAGTGTCACGGAGGATTTTATTGGCGTGACGAGGTAGATCGCCGAGATCGAGCGTGAAAAACGCTCTGCATTAGTAGCTCCTGTAGAATGTCTTCTGGGATGGCGTATCCATGGTCAACAAAGCCAAGGTGCAAGACAGCATAAGAGATCGTGTAAACGATGTGAACTCCAAAAGGTAAGCTCCTGAACAAGTGGAAAGATAATAATAACAAACTCTCTCTTCATCCATCGATTGCCGCTATGCATTGCATTTTGTCTTCACAGATAATCTGGACAAATAAATTATATTGTAACTGGAGAGTGCAATCGTGCTTGGGACCCATCCCAATGTCATCACATGGCTGTGGTGACTAGTGTATACCTGTACCCGGGAGAGTTTTTCCTCAACTGAGACGGAGTGTAGGTGGATGGATTATGAGAAATGCGAAGATGTGGAGTAAGTTGTGTCGAAGAAATGTTTAATAAAAAGTATAATTTACTTTACACTCAAACATACATTGTACACTGTGCATGTACATGTAACATCATGATACTGATGATTCCATCTTCATAATCTCCGCAACAGGTACGCCATACGCACCGAATACATGGTGTGTGTGCACGCGCGCGCTTGCGTGCGCGCGTACATGCACACACTCTCATGCGTGGCCGAGTTGGCCGGATGAACAGACCACGCATTTGCACGAGGTGTCCGTCATGTCATTGGAATGCTGTACTTTATGACTTTATTCCAAAATGTCTTGCCCCTATCAAATGGAGTTTGTGTCTATGCTCAGCGGGTATCGGGCCACGACGCCACACTGCAGTCAGCGCTGGAATTAAAATAGCACTTCATGGATTATTTTAACTAATTTCCTTTGCGCTTACATGTACTTTGTTGAGCCCGTGGTTTCATTTCTGTGTTCTGTTATGATTGGCCTCTGGAAATAATCGGAGTGGATGTCATTTTTGTCATATGTGTGTGCCTTGTGCAACAGGTTCAAGGCTAGATGCACTTCACATTCGGCGTGCGATCTCGGCGTCTGGGACCTGATAACGTCTTGGTTGGATGGGTAATCAAGGATGATACTACTCGGCGCACCAATGTACATGTCAATGTATTTTTTACTTTTTGAGAGCTGCACTATTTACGGACGATTGTGTCTGTTAGAGAGGAAATAAGTAGTATTCACAAACAAGTCCCACTTATTGTTTCTGTTTGTAAAAGGAAATTGCAATTTTTTGGTCGTATTGTTCGTTCCGGCTGTTTGTCATTGACTGTTCTTCAGGGTTGTGTTGCTGGAGGTCGTGGCCGACGCAGGCCCAGAATGTCATGGCTTGATAATATTATTTCATGGACTGCTGCACTTGACGTGCAGTCCCTGCTCGCTGCTGCACGCGATCGATTTTTATGGCGCTCACTTGTTCATACTTGCTCTGTGACGCCCCGGCGGCCTTAGGGCTATGGGCTTGTGATGATGACTATTTACGTCTTGATGCTTACTTCGGTGCTAGCGTGTTTCCCCCGGATTATTTCGATCATCATGCGTGTTCTTGGGCTGAGCGAGCATATGCACGAGTGTGCAGCTATAACCCCGTGTATCTTTGGTTACACTTTGTTCTGCAATGCATGTACCTTGTAACAGTATGTGCTTGCACTGCTTTGTGTGGCCTGCGTATTTCAGGACTATTCAGTGCATTAGCCCCAGGTTGGTTTGGTTGCCGGATGATCTCTTGTTGTGTCGCTCTGTGTTTTGTATTCATCAATTTCTGGGCTTGAGAATTGAGCTGGTGTGTGGTTCCCAATATCAAAACATCATGCTGGTGCTCTGTGTTTCGATTATCGACTGTCCGAGCAGTCACGATTCATTACCAGAACGGTCACTACTGTAGTCTCTTGACGTGTTTGTCTTTTTGTGTTTTCGCCGGGGGAATTAGCGGTGACGTTGCACATAGAACGGCAGTGTTGCATCACTGGACGACCCTGCCTCTGCATCTGATTTCATGTCCCCAGGATCTGGTGCAGATACACCAGACAGTCACTTCCTGTAAACACGCAAACAGCAAAAGAAGAGATCCCGCAGATCAGGAAAACCATTGTGGAAAATATCGAGTAGATCATACACCATTCAATAATCTGGAGTAATTACAGTGAGACAAACACTTCAGTGCTCTCTCTCTCTCTCTCTCTCTCTCTCTCTCTCTCTCTCTCTCTCTCTCTCTCTCTCTCTCTCTCCATCCTCCCAAAATACCCTGTAACAATTCCCTAGAATTATTTTATTTTATATTTTCAGGACATCATTCTGAACATAATAACTTCTTCCATGGGTCTTCAATCACCACGGAGGGCGAGAATATATCTAAGTCATGCAGTTTACGGGAGGTGCGTGCTGTCATGGATATAGAGGCTGATGTAATTGTGCCAGCGTGAGGGCAGAGACAGAAAGAAGACACTGATTTCTTGAACAACTCACCTACATAATTATAATCGAATCCACAGGGAGCGCTCGTACTTTGATCCATCAGGACGCGAAGAATCTTCAAAGCACTCTCAAACACGGAGTTTTACAGTGGGCAGCCAATTTCACAGCCATTATGAAGGCCCTCGACGACTACAGGAGATTTGTAGAGGAAAGAACAAGGAGTAAAGAGCGACAACAATCGCTTGAAGAAAAAGCAAAGAAAAACTGCTCTCTCTCCAGTCATTTAGATGCTGTTGCCTTTGACAACTGGTTCCATCCAGAGGACGCGACTTTTGTTTGTCCCCAGTGCTCTCCGTTGCTATGCGTATCGAAGGGGCCGTGACGTCACACTTAACAGCCCCATGGTGAGTCGTACTTGCGGACTTGCTTCTTTCGCGATTGTGCGTTGCATCTCCGCCGTTGGGGTCAGTATTTGACCCGGGCGTTGTCCATACCGCTTGTTCTGGATGTGTTGTGCGGTCTCCGTTGATCTGGGTTTGCGGTGGTCAGGTCCGAGTACGAATCTACCACGTGAACCGTGTGTGGTGGATTAATTATTTTATTTTGGTGGAGATCGAAAATGATCTCCGGTCCGAGGAAAACGGCTCGATCCGGCCGGCGGTCGAATGTGCCTGTTGTGTATAGCGAGAGCTGCAGAGTGCAGTAAATATTGGCGCCCCTATTGTAACTGTCTAGTCTCTAGGTGAATGGATGCTGTAATCTGTTCGCGTGGTACTGCCTGCTGAGCGCTGTGTTGTTCGGAAACAAGAGTCGAAGAGAAGGTTGTAGATGGATCAGAGCTGGTAACTAACTGTTGCTTGTGAGTGGTTGCAGTCGTCTATAGTGCTGATACTGATACTTATACATGGAGGAATCTTCGGTTGTTGGTTCAATTATTTGATCAGTAGTGTCCTTATGGAGGGGGAAATGTGGGTGGTGAGCTGTCCTAGTGGTAGATTTACCCCTATTGTCTGTGGCCGTGGGAAGCCCTGCGTGAAGGAAACTGCAAGTGGAAATTGTTGCGGATTCTATTCAGACTTGATTTTCAGTCTATGGAAGAGGTATCTTATTAAAATTTTAATTTTTGGGAGGTTGAAATTTCCAGTCGACATAGTGACGCAATTGAATAGTTGTGATTAGGTGGTATGATTGCGTAAGGAGGAGGAAGGAATTGGATCAGTTGGAAAATACACAGGAAGAAAAGGCAGGGTTTTTTTTTTGATTGAGTGCTATATACTCGTAATGTAAGAAATTTGTATGTAATTATGTGGAAAAATTATGGACGGGTAATTGCCATTGATTTATGTTATTATTATGACGGATGACCTGGACCAACGGCAATGTTACCTAATCATGTAATTATATGTAAGTGTGTGTAACGTGTACTAGAAATAGGGAATATTATAAATATGTAACTATATTATGTAGGTTATATGTAGTTTTATGTATTTATATGTGAATTATGTGTGAATTATAATTATATTTTCGTGACATATGGGGAATATGGTTTTTGTGCGGTTGGTGAGTGTATCGTTGCGAGTGTGTGTTGGTCAGGGGCCTGCCAGGCAAAGAGTGTTCTCCTTAAAAATGTCACAGCCATTCGTATGTGTACGTTACTCCAGCATCAAGGTTCATACTTGGCTGTCTTCTTTTGATCAGGAATGCCTCTGTGTACTTCCGTAATGCAAGTTGGGGTATTCGGCGAAGGATGACGGGATTTGCCCAATCAATTGCATGTCCAGTATCCAGGACGTGTTTGGCCACACCATTGTCTGCTTTCCTGTTGTGGACGTCTCTTTGGTGCTCCTCCATTCGTTTTTTTAACCGTCTTCCTGTTTCTCCCACGTACTCAGCTCCACAGGTGGCGCAGTTCAGGGCATACACTACACCGTATTGGTCCTTGATGGATGGAGGCGGGGTTTTTTTTCTTTGTGAGCAGGTTCTTCAGGGTGGTCGATCGCCGGTGAACCATACGGAATGGTGCGTTCTTCGTTTTTCTTTTGATTTTCTCCGATAGCCCACGGACATAGGGTAGTGAGAGCGGTCGGTATGTGTAACTGGAAGCCGGTCTCGGTTGATGTTGTTGTTGTTGTTGTTGTTGTTGTTGTTGTTGCTGCTGCTGCTGCTGCTGCTGCTGCTGTTGTTGGTGTTGTTGTTGTTGTTGTTGTTGTTGAGGTTGCTGTTGCGGTTGTTGTTGTTGTTGTTGTTGTTGTCGGTCTTGCTGTTGACGGTGTCGGCGATGAACCTGTTGGATTACCCCTTCGATGGTCTCCAGTGGGTAGCCGTTGGAAAGGAATTCAGTGCGGAGAGTTTCTCTCTCTTTGTCTTTCAGCAGGTTAGTGCTGCAATGCGATTCGATCCTCTGTGCCAGGCACGATAATGTAGCACATTTCGTGGCATTAGGATGGTGGGAGGCGAAATTGATGTATTTACCCGTGTGGGTTGGCTTCCTGTACACTTGTGTCGACAGATTGGTCTCAGATCTTTGGACCCAGACGTCCAGGAAGGCAATACCTCCATTTTTTCTCTTCTTCCACCGTGAATTGGATATGTGGTGATATGGCGTTGGCGGCTGCGAGTACGTGGGGCAGTTCTCCCTTCTTGATGATGGTGAAGGTGTCGTCCACGTACCGCAGCCAGGCCTTGATCCTTTCACCACATATTGCCAGAAGCCGTCCTTCCAGCCACTCCATGAAAATGTCCTTGTAACATGCTGTCAAAATCAAAAAACATGTTAACTACCAACTTACACCAAGCAAGGCTTCTGTATATACTGTACTGCACTAGTAGTACCTAGTAGTAGCAGCATGCTAGCAGGCTAGCAGGCTACGGTAGATCTACTCAGTACGAGTCAGTAGCTGGGCAGTCTACTGCATGCAGTAACTGCAAACTGGTAACTGCACTGTGATGTCACTGGTCACTGCACTCAGCACTGCATGACTTGTACTGATGACTCAGTGATGAGTGGTTTGTATGTACATGTCACATGATGATGCGCGCTGGCCGCGGGGGGCGGCCGGTACGGCGGTAGCCCTCTTCTAGAATATTCTAGGCGTCGCCTTTGCTAGTTTGTCTGTTCTGCACACTCGCGCCCACTCTGCGCCTTTCAAAAATTCAAAAAGAAACTACGTCGTTGTACAGTACAAGTCAGTACAAGTGGCCTCAGTCACCACATGATCCACATCTCCAAGAAAGCCACTTGACGACTTGTCATCGTTGTGTGTCGAGTCTGTCGACGTGTACAGGTACTTGTCTTTACCTTTCTTGATCTTTAAAGGGGAAGTTAAGGCAAAAATCAAAATTTCACCAGTTGTAGTCTTCGGGGTGCTGAGTCGAATGGTCTTGGTCCGAGAAAGCTGAGACGCTCCCTTCCTACTTGAATCCCAATCGAACTCGTGCACTTCCACCGAAACTGGGTGACTGCGCCCTACTAGATGGGGATTTGTATGCAAAATCTCACTTAAAGCGCCATTTCGTTCTTATAAAAGCATGGATGACCGCGATTGGCCCATATGTTGTAGTCTTTTGGACGCTGAGTCGACTGGTTTTGGTCCGAAAAGGCTGCGATGCAGCGTTCCTCCTAATCGAACATGGTTGAACAAGCGGTCACGTGCTCCTGCGTACACCAGTCACCTGGTCACCGTGCCTGCAGGGTAGGCCTAGCCCAAATTTGCTCGGGGCGCTTCGATATTTTGCCGGCAAATTTTGCCCGATCACTTTCCATATTTTGCTAGGCATTGCCTTTCGTTTCCGATATTTTGCTCCATTTTGCTCCTGCTTTGTGGCAAAAATGGCTTCGAATGAACCGTCTACTTTGGTAAAAGTGGATGGTGACTCTGATGAGGAAAGCAAAACTTAATATAATGGTGTCACTATTACGGATTTTGGAGCATGATTTCAAATTTATGTACCCCTGACAACCTGCACGAGCTATTTCAGCACGACGTTGGCCCAATGAAACCAACGAAATTTGAATAAAATTGCCAAAACACACCCGGATCCTCTGTGAATTCGATATTTTGCTCGGAATTTGCCAGCAATTTCTTTTCGTTGGAAAATTCGATATTTTGCTGGAAGGATTGCCGGCAAATTTGGGCTAGGCCTACTGCAGGGTACTAGGCACCGGCGGATTATGCCGGCATAATTATTGGCATAATTTGGTGGTTGAAAATTTGGAGCATAATTTGGCATCCTTTCGGAGGTAGGAGCATAACTGCATGATTCTCTCACAGTTCTAGTATGTAGGCTACACAATTGTGTAAAATGCACCTGATTAGTGCTGGTGGTCTGCATGGTAAATGGTTCGGAGGTCATGCAGATAGTGTTTTCAATGAAAAGCAGGGTAGAAATCATGGAAATACATGTTGTGTGCTCGAACTCGTCTTCTCAAAGTTCTTTCTCGCCCTGATACAGTACATGTAGCAGAAGATGCGAGTGAATCAGCCTTTATCAGGTATCCCGGGGCGGACGAGATAGTGACGGGTAGTCCGCAAAACTCCGCGTACATGCACACTATGCTTGTTCCGAAGTCATGACGTCTGGGTCTTAGCAGCTATGACTGTGCAGGCTATGGTTATTGCTCCAATAATTAAAGGGGAAGTATACCCTCAATGTTCACCCTCCGGTCGGCTGCTACTTGCACCGAGAGGCGCACTCGAGGGCAATCATTCTCTTCACTTTCTTTGCCCGCTGCTACCACTAGATATGGCATGTTCTCCATTTCTTTCCTTGGCGCTGATAGGTGGAATTCTCTGCCTGTCTCGTGTCGTCAGGTTGAGCATCTATCCGTTTTTGTTTCGCTCTGTAAAGAGCACTTAGGGTTCCCTGTAACAAGACGGCAACGTCTGTAGGGCCTTCCCTATCAAAATAATAAATTCTACTACTACTACTACTACCCTAAAATCAAATTTTCACCAGTTGTAGTCTTTTGGGTGCTGAGTCGAATGGTCTTGGTCCGAGGAAGCTGCGACGCTCCCTTCCTACTTGAATCCCAATCGAACTCGCGCACTTCCACCGAAACTGGGTGACTGCGCCCTACTACATGTAGATGGGGATTTGTATGCAAAATGTCACTAAAAGCGCCATTTCGTTCTTATAAAAGCACGGATGACCGCGATTGGCCCATATGTTGTAGTCTTTTGGACGCTGAGTCGACTGGTTTTGGTCCGAAAAGGCTGCGATGCAGCGTTCCTTCTTTATTCCCAATCGAACATGGTTGAACAAGCGGTCACGTGCTCCTGGGTGCGTAAATCACTTGGTCACCGCGCCAGCAGGCGACAACTTTCACACCAAGGGCAAGGTTCAACTCGAGTTCAACTCGAGTGACAGGACTGCACCCAAAAAAGGTCAAACAGGCTAGTAAGTTGTACCCTGCAGGCACGGTGACCAGGTGACTGGTGTACGCAGGAGCACGTGACCGCTTGTTCAACCATGTTCGATTGGGAATAAAGGAGGAACGCTGCATCGCAGCCTTTTCGGACCAAAACCAGTCGACTCAGCGTCCAAAAGACTACAACATATGGGCCAATCGCGGTCATCCGTGCTTTTATAAGAACGAAATGGCGCTTTTAGTGAGATTTTGCATACAAATCCCCATCTAGTAGGGCGCAGTCACCCAGTTTCGGTGGAAGTACGCGAGTTCGATTGGGATTCAAGTAGGAAGGGAGCGCCTCAGCTTCCTCGGACCAAGACCATTCGACTCAGCACCCCGAAGACTACAATTGGTGAAAATTTGATTTTAGGGTATACTTCCCCTTTAAAAAATAATTGAGGTATAGTTGATGTTCGGTAATGATGGAAGGAGAGCTGGAGCTACGGGAGAGATGAGCTGATTATGAGAGTTCGCAGGGTTAGGGTGACATCGGTTGGACGAGTATGACGATTACGAAGACAGTTGAACATGACAGTTTTCAAAGGTAATGAAAAATCTTTCACAACAAAAGAAGTCAACTAATGAATAGAAGAAGTAATGTTTTCTCTTTTCCATGTTGATCTCTAGCATGCATGGACACCTTGGTAAGGGGATACTCATGTATTTGTTGTACTTATGGCCACTTGCAAGTACGAAAAAGGCACAATTTTCCGAAATTTGAGGCTCCATAAGCACAACAAAGTGAATATGTATCCCCGCGTGCCAAAGCATAATAATATGAGGATTTTGCGAGCATAATGCGAGAATCCATGAAAGCATAATTCCATGATTTCGCGGGCATAATCCGCCGGTGCCTACAGGGTACAACTTACTAGCCTGTTTGACCTTTTTTGGGTGCACTCCTGTCACTCGAGTTGAACTCGAGTTGAACCTTGGTGTGAAATTTGTCGCCTGCTGGCGTGGTGACCAGGTGATTTGGGCACCCAGGAGCACGTGACCACTTGTTCAACCATGTTCGATTGGGAATAAAGGAGGAACGCTGCATCGCAGCCTTTTCGGACCAAAACCAGTCGACTCAGCGTCCAAAAGACTACAACATATGGGCCAATCGCGGTCATCCGTGCTTTTATAAGAACGAAATGGCGCTTTTAGTGAGATTTTGCATACAAATCCCCATCTAGTAGGGCGCAGTCACCCAGTTTCGGTGGAAGTACGCGAGTTCGATTGGGATTCAAGTAGGAAGGGAGCGTCTCAGCTTTCTCGGACCAAGACCATTCGACTCTAGCTCAGCACCCCGAAGACTACAACTGGTGAAATTTTAATTTTTGCCTTAACTTCCCCTTTAAGATCTACATGACATCATACGTCGTCATTCCCGGCCGTCAACCCCGGTCCCCGAGTGACCTGTCTTGTCGGGATTTTTCGTGAAAAACATATTAAATCCATTTTTTCATGAGCGCTAGCTCACGAGCGCTGGGCATGCATCGCGCGCGATGCATGATCGATGGCCGGCCGGCCATGATCGGATCGCGGATACCGGCATCCCAGTGCAGTGCTACTAATACTGCAGCATGAGACTCAAGCAATGGCCAATGATACTTGATAGAACTTTTAGATTAGAAGCTTTGAAATATTTGTATGGCGAATGTTGAGTGTTGTGGTTGTAGATCGACTGGGCTGGGTTCCTTGTGACAACAACAGCTATTCTTGCCATCACTGTTAGAGTTCAATACGACTGGTTTGGGCGATTGCGCTGCCACATCAACAAAATTTTAAATTGTTTGCTT